GGTAATTAAATTCGAATTTAAAATTACAAATGCTCAGCATAATCCAATAACATTGATTGATTAACTATTGTAGAAGTTTGTTGAGTACAGCAACACGCCCCGAAATTCTTCGCTTAAATTAAGTTGGAATTAAAAGTCAGCAGAAATTAGCGACGAGCTATAATTGATAGAGAGAGTGGCAAACGCATATTTATAAATATATGAGTATTCAATATATGTATGGGTATGGAATATACTCGTGCTTCAAAATATATTTCAAAAAGACAACGTTTGCATGACTCTTATTTAAAAATATATTTATTTATGCATACATATTTATAATTGCTAAGAAACATCTTAAATAATTTTTCATTGAGGTAATTACTATAAATCGACACTCTATAATGATGTTCAATCAGTTATAAATCATAGAAATGTTTTGTAGCTAGAGTCTGCTGGCACTTCATTGCTTTTTTTTTGTTATAAAAAGCTATTTGAATTTCAAACATATATTTTTTGTATGTACATACAGATGTGATTCGTACCTTAAATTCATTGCAATAAAAAAGCCCAATTGCTTAATGTACATATAATTATTGCAGCAAATATTATTTAAAAAACTGTTTATTTGGCATTACATTTTTTATAATTTAACTAATTTATTCAATTCCACGTTATTTCCTCACTTGCTACAAAACTTTAATTTGCCTAGTACCTAAATATTAAGTGGTTATAGAAATGTGCCACGGAAAACGAGACTGCTCCCCGGTATCATAATTATTCCTCGAATACTTTCCAAAATTTTTTTTTTTAATTCAAATAATAATTTAATATGTAGCATCGACAAATTGCGTTATAATTGCTTCAATGAGCTTGGAAAAATCATTTGCTGATAAAGTATGCTTAAAAGTTGTCCGTTGTTATGGCGCTTTGAACGTCAAATAGCAATATTTGGTTTATGATAATTGTTTCAGGTAGATTGCTTTATTTTATTTTATTTTATTTTATTTTATTTTATTTTATTTTATTTTATTTTATTTTATTTTATTTTATTTTATTTTATTTTATTTTATTATATTATTTTATTTTATTTTAATTTATTTTATTTTATTTTTTTGTAATTTTATTATATTTTTTTATCTGATTTGTCTATAATTTTGATCTAAAACTTCAATGGAAATGTTATAAGCAATCTTGTAGCTCCTCTGCAGTATAACACCGTGCATTGGTAATGTTAGGAAACATTTTATTGTTGCTGATGCAGTCAAAGCGATCGTTTTTATTTTGCTTGCTATTTTCTATTTATTTATTTATTTAATTCCACAGTTGGACACAGTCTCCATTAAGTTATTATTTGAGATAGTATAAGCTTCCGCCTATTGAGATGTTTGTTATGTACAAACAACAAAAAATAAAAAATAAAATAAAACAAACATTTATATATCCACCGCTATGAATTTATATATGCATACAATCACATATGCACATATAAGAATTACCACCGCCCAACATTCGAATTTTGGTAATTTTAAGCCAAGTCATACAGTTATTTTATGCTTTTCAATGATTTATTTTTAGAAATTACAAATGTATTTTTTTTACTAATTTCTTTCTTTGAACTTTGTGTTCCTTTTCTTAGTAAATTAGTTACGCGCAAAAAGTCATTCACTTTTGTTCAGGAAGAAAAACCAGTTTAAAACTGAAAGCTAAAAAGAAACGAATCAAATATAATTGTAAGAGGAAAATAGTACACAAATTAATGAATGAAGAAAATGTTAAATAACAGCGCGTAAGAAATTAAGAAGAGTATGTTAAGAAAATGTTAAAAAAATATTAAATCAATTTACGTCGTGAATACAAATACATAGAGCTCAAACTGCTTTATTCTAAAATTGTTATTCTTTGAAAAATTATGTAAAAATATTTTTAATACAAAGGTGAAAAATCTCAAGAGAATTTCTATTTATTTATTATTGAATTTATTTTTTTATTGCATAAATTATTTTATTTATTTTTGTTAAAATGTGCTTCAAAAGTTCATATAAAAAAGAAACGAGAAAAGAAAAACTAAAAAATAAAAAATAAATAAATAAAAGTTAAAAAACAGTAAAAATAAATAGAATATATTTCTAACACCGTTGTCAGTCTAAACAGCAAATCTTTGTTTGTCTCTTCATTCAATATAACATTTATACATATACATTTTCACATTTCTCGCTACTTATTATTTATTTTTAAACGTGAAGCGGAAAAAAAGTTTAGAAAAACAACAGAAATTATAAGCAATTCAGTGGCCAGGTGCGAGAATGTACATATATTAATAACTGTATGTAATTACGTAAATAAGCCATAGAAGGAACGAAAGAAAAAAGCGGAATAAAAGAAAATATTCTACTCAAGCGGAATTTGTGCTTAAGTATTTATTATATACATACATACATGCATATTTAAATACATATTTGGGTATATCCGCAGCTATTACTCAAGTATCTTCCAGCTAAAATACCACAAATATTTTAAGCAAAACGCGATAGGAAAAAATTTGCGCTGTACTTTTTCGACAAATGCGAGCTTAATTAATGAGGACTTCACATTTTTCTTACAAGCTAAGTCTTTGTGCTCTATTATTGTATAAGAGTATTAAAATATTAATTCTTTAGAAACGGCAAAGAAATGCTCACAAATGTTTTTGCTTTAAAATGTATAATTATTTTTATTTAATTTTTAATATTTAATTGTTGCTTAAGTTACCAACGATAAATAAATTAAAATTTCATTGCATGACGTCGCAAAGAACAAAACATTGATCGGATAAAAAGTAAACCCTTATTCCAAAAAATAGATGGCTTTAGTGATCTGAATCTAGCGATCTGTAAGAGCGATCGAATTACACTAGGTGTTCTTGGAAACAATATGTTTGATACTAAAAAAAACAACGGAAGATGGGTTGATTTGTGCTATATTCGACAATTTCTTCTCGATAAAAGCGAAAACGCAAGTCAGGCAACAGAAAATCTGATTAGTGAATTTATGGTCCTGATATATAGTCAGTTATGTACAATTTTTGTTTCTTTGGTCTCGTTCCGGTAACGTTAATGCAAAATATACTCCACGGCATGGAATCCAATTGTCATAAATGTTGATAAAAATAATGGAGATCCTCTAGTCTGACCCTCATTTAGAAGTTCAATAATGCGCATTACCAGAAGACCGATATTTGGGCGGCACGGCACCTGAGTTAACGAGAAAAAATCTCTTAAACCGAGTTTCGAGATGGTAACAAAATCGATCCATTTCTAAGGCAGATGGTGACTGGTGATGTACAGTAGATCACTTACAGCAATGGCAAACGGAAATGATCGTGGTTTGTGTGTCACAGGACAACCCGAAATTACAAACAGTCACAGTAGCTCGCATGTAACTTCGAGAGCTTGGTTGGTATGTTCTTATGCATCGATTTTATAGTTCGTATCTCGCACCAAGCGCTTATCACTTGTTTCTGTACATGGCGAATGAATGGGATCTTGAAAAATTGGGCTCGTGAAGAGCCTGCGAAAATCGATTGTGTCAGTTTTTTTTTACCAATAGGAACAAGGCTTCTATGAGAGAGGTAAATTGACATGGCATTTAAAATGGCAAAATGTTATCGGTGCACGTTTGATATAAACTTCTTAATTTTAACTATGGCAATATATAATTTAATGCAAAATATTGGTTTAATTTTTAATACACCTAACGTATATTTAACTGTCTTAATAGTTAGGCTTATTGGGTACTTCTGCAAACTAACCGACCATGTGATTCGCTGTCGTTTTTTTTTTTTTTCAATAATTTTCACTTCTTTTGGAGCTACTCTAACCGTAAAGGGTTTTGTGATTAAATATTTGTAACACAGAAAGTTCAGCCACCTTAGCGATGTTAACTTCGGTTGTAGTGTCAATGTCTACGTTATTCTTTCACGATATCTCGGTCGGGTTCGAATTATTGCTTCCGTGTTTTTGTAAACTTTTCAGCGTTTCCACGTAAGCCTTTCAACCGTTCGTTGCATTGGATTTCCTTTGAAATTTTGAAATGTAAAATTTTAAAACAATTTTTTAGCTCGATATTTTTATTTAATAATTTAATCCTCATTAACCCTACAGCCGTAATTTTACGCATTTAATGAGTTTCTTTTTTTTTATTCATTAAATGTGTTTGCTTTTTTCAAGTCGATTAATTTTGGAAAGTAGAAAGTGTGATACGGAACTCGTTTGTTTTGAAAGGATCATAATTGATTAATTCCAATACTATATGAGCCTTGGAGATAGCATTTAGAGGGGCTCTCATGAAAGAGATCTTATTAACGCTTTTGGACAAATTGTTTCTTATGGTTGAGCGAGCAGCTCTAAAAAAAGGTATAGGCTATTTGACTGCTAAGATAACATAAGCATGTCAAAGCTTTAATCACTATATCTAGTGCTTCAACACAGGATGGTAAGAACACCATAAGGTCAAACAAATAATAAGGGATTTTTACTTGGCTTAGCATTTTCTAGGCGAAAAAAAAGATACCCAGAATATTGGATAAATTATTTATGCTTTCTGCATCGTGATAAGGCACCTACTCACGTGCCTTTGCCTGTGCATAATACTTGGCTAAAAATAACCGTAATTATGCCTTCACTGCAGAATTTACAAAATTCGACAGCTTATGGCTTTCACTTAATTGAAAATTTCTACCAAGGTCATTTTACAAGATATTTTTACAAATAGTTGAACCAGCCCAAGTACATAATGAAAAGTGGATTGGAAAATATACACGCGGAAGTTTATTTTTTTCCGAACGAGACTAATTTGACGGAGATTGAAAATTGGAAATTGAAGAAAAATTATTTATTTTGAAAAATATATTTTCGAAAAATAATCAATATCGACATATTTTGAACAGAGGATTTTTCCTGTAATAAATTTTAAATACTCAAAAAATTCAAAAAATTGGTATGCATTTTTCTTTAGGAAAATAAAATTATTCTTTATTCCAGCGTTTTTTAGAAATACAAAATAGACATACATATGTACATATACATATAAGACTTTAAGTACACTTAGCCGCTGTTTACAGATAAAATATTTTACAATAAAATAATATAAATAAATTAAAAACTAATTACGCAAATCACATATAATACTACTGGCAAGTTGAAGCAGATTTTATTTTTTTTCTTTTATTATTTATATATAACAAAATTTGGCGCTAACACTACTAACGAATGACAGTTTAAGCGTGTGCAAGCTGACTTCTGTATGCTCTTCCTCGTATATTTTGAGTTTGGAATGCCTGCGCTGCACAACTGTCAATTCATTAATACTTAAGGTAATTACTTTTCCTACACCATGCTACTATTCTACTTCACTTTCCCTACACTCTTTCACCACCTCACCACCGATTCAACTCTCCAAGCGCTGCGCCTGCTCTAATGGCGCCACCTTACTTTTAGCTAAATATTTTAAAAACTCCGTTGGCGTACGAAAACCTTTCAGTGGATATTTACCAAAACGGCCATTTGTCTTGGCGACCGCATAGTAAACCGGATAAGCGCCCGGCGTCACATGTACGCGCATAGTTTTGCTAACTTTTTGACCATCGAGCGTGTTCTGGTTGTAGAGGAAGTGCAAGTTCTTCTTTTGATTGCGACTGGGTTTGTGAAATTTTGGCTCCGCAAGTTGTCTTATAATCGGTGAGTCTGCAATGTTATTGGCATACGAGGGTACGGAATCCTTAGTGCGTGTCTTCTTTGCGCGCATATGATTAGAGTTGACATAGTTGCGGTTGGCAGGTAGTAGACTCTGTATATTATAGAGTGAAGAGTCCATATTGCCGCTGGCGTCTTCGGAGATTGCTGGCAGGTCGAGTGGATTGACGCGTATTACCTTTTGTGTTGTATTCTCTACATCGGGTATGACATCTTCGGTGATGACAACGAACTTGGCGGGCTCCTCGGTGGGTTTCGCGACAGCTGAGGTGTCGTGGGAAGTGGCGAGTGTCAAGTGCGGTGTCAAAATGCTGACTAGCAGCGTCAGATGCTGGAATAAATGCGATATTTATATGATTTAATTTTTTTTTTGTAATTTTTGTTAATATTATTTAATTTTTGTTAATATTATTTTATATTTAATTTATTTAATTAACTACTTTTGAATACAAAATTCGCTTCATTGAGTTATGCGTCACTCTTAATCCGCTTACAATTATTTGAATTTATTTTTTTTTTTTGCGAAATTTTTTTTTTCGTAGATCACGTTCAGCTATTCGCACTTACCAAAGCTCGTTGATAGCTCTTCATGTTTATGTCTTTTTTTTATATAAAACTTCTGCACCCTTTAGACGTTTATTGACATATGAACACTTGTCAGGCAATCTTTGAAAAACTTTTTTTCAAACACTTAATTTAATTGCGTGCGTTTAATGTCCGGCGCTTCCAAGAACTATAAAATGACACTAAAATATTTTTTATATTCCGTTATTTGTTCTTCCTTTGTCACTGTTAATATTTCCGTTGCTAGCTGCTGCTACTGCGTTGCTGTTGCTGCGGCTGTTGCTTGTTGCTTCCTCCATCCAATGTGAAATGTTGTCGACTGATCGGCTTGTAAGGCATTGTGTTAAGTTTTATGTCGCCATCACCATCAACCAACTCAGACGCCAACTCAGACACCGGCTTCTGCCAAACGTCTCAGACTGAGTTACTATGAACGAGTATGTAAGTTCCACAGCGCAGCTTCCAGAGAATTGTTTTCGCATTTTGTGCGAATGTAGCGATGACAAATGCTATACCCCGCTGACTGCCTGTGTATGTATTTATTTATATTTTTTTTTGTTTTTTTTTACTTAGACTTTGTTATTGTGCTAATATTTTTTTAAATTTTTTTTTTTGATTTTTTTTTTAATTTTTTCACGTTTCCCTCATTGTGTGAGGCCAGCGAAACGCAAAAGTCATCCATATGGAAAAAAAAATCCAACTTCAACAAAACAAAACGAAAAACAATAATCATCATCGCCACCGGAGATACAATCTTCTCTAAGTTCTTTATTTTGCGTTGCTCACTTCATTTAATTTCATTCTTATTATTCTTATTTTATTTATTTGATTTGGCAGAAATATACAGTAATATATATCCATACGTAGCCCCCAAAGGCTGTATCTACAGTGGTACGAGGAATAAAAAAAATGACGCAGAAATATTAGGCGAAATCCTCGAACTTAGATGTTCTCTCATAGGAACCTTCAATCTGAGAAAAAGTTCTAGTAAAACCTCGTTTAGGTGATAGGACTAGCTAAAGAGTTTTTCCCTTTTCTTGAAGGCTCAAACTTCTAATTAAAATGTTGGAACGTTCGAAGAATTGATTCAATGGCTTTTCCAACAATATTTTTATATCCAAGCTATTTGTGCTTATACCATGTGTGGTCACAAAATCATTCACTCTTGTGGTGATTCAGATTGTTAAGATGAGAATGATGGGGAGAGAGATAGAGAAACGGTAAGGAGATACAGTGAGGAAGTTAGAAAAAGACGTCCTACATCTCTATACCCCTTATATTTCCTTATTTCTTTCCCTCTCTCCGTCTTTATAACTCTCTCAATCCCTTGATTCACCTCTCTCTTCCTTCCCCTTTGTCTTCTCTTCTTCTTTATCTTTATCTCTATCTCTATCTTTCCCTCTCTCTCTAGCTATAACTTATTTTATTCTCTCTTCCTTCCACCTTTCTTTCCAACCATCTCTTTCTCTCACCCTCACTCCTCTCTTTTTTTTCTTTCTCTTTCTCTCTCCCCCTTCTCTTTTCCTTTCTGTCTCTCTCTCTCTCTCTCTCTCTCCTTAGCTCTCTCTCCTTACCTATCTCTCTTGCTCCCTCCCATTCTCTTTTCCTCTCTCTGTCTCTTTCTATATTCCTATATTCCATTTATCACCCTTTCTGTCTTACTGTCTCCCTCCCTTTCTCTCTCATTTCCTCTTACACTCCCTTTCACTCTTCCTTTATTTTTTTTCTTCCTCTATCCCCCATTCTCTCTTTCTCTCTCGCCCTCATTCGCACTTCCCCTCTCTATCCTTTCTCTGACTCCCTTTTTTCCTTCGTTATTTCCCCTCTCTCTCTTTCTTGATCTCTCCCTTTCACTCTTCCTCTATCTCTCTCAATCCCTCTTCCTTTCTCTATCCCATTCTCTCTTCCTCTATCTCTCCTTTCACTCTCACTCTATCTCTCTCATTCCCTCTTCCTCTCTTTCTCTTATTCTCTCTTCCTCTCTTTACCCCTTTCTCTGTCTCCCTTTTTTCTTAGTTATCCACCCCCTCTCTATCTCTTCCATTCTCTCTATTCTTCCTTCTCTGAAAGATGAGTCTAACAAGAGAAACTTTCAAAATTATCTCATATATTTTGAAAACCAATATTTAAATAACATTAAGTAACCATTTCCACTGGATCTTGCACCACTGTACACAGATCAGTTACATTAAGAACGCAAAACAAATCGAGAGAAAAGAAATAAAAGCAAATTATGTACACAGATTATAATTCTAAAGCGGAGCGAAGTGAAGAGAAGCATGACGGTGTCGATGACGATGACGACTACGTTATGCTTGAAACTTAAAAGTTGCTTAATTGTTGTTGTAATTGTTGTTATGATCGTAAACAATGAATTGATTACAACGTACAGCACAATTGTAACTAAAATTATTACCGTTGAAGACCGAATGTGGAATTTTTAATGACAATTCTATGAACTTTGCAAAAATAATTTCTTAATTTTTTTTTTAAATTTTATTTAAATATTTTTTTTTTTTGTAAATTAAATTTATTTTAAAATTTTTTTTTTTATAACTTTTAAATTATTTAATGTACTTTTCTTACTTATTATAATTTTTTTATACTGCTTTTTTATATTTTCTGAATTTTTAATTTACCTTTATTTCTTTATTTATATTTAATTTTTTATTTTTTTGTTTATGTATTGATTACCTTAAAACTGATAAAAAAAAAAATTATTAACTTCTCAACAGTGAAATGCCTTACGAATCTCGTTTTCAATTACGATTTATATCGTGTTTGTTTTGATTAGTAAAAGTAAATAAATATACATAGATATGTATATATATGTATAAAACGACGATTACCTCAACGCGCTATAATTGGATTGTTGTATAAGAAATGCTCAATCACGCACGCGCACAAACACACATACACATTCAATGGAGCACCATCATAATCAGTCTTAAAAGTCCCACACAAGTGTGCTTAGAAGCGATCAAGTGTCGGGGTGAATATAAAATAAGAAATAATTTCCCATCAAATATTTTTGGCACAATTTAGCAAATCTTCACAAAATTCCCGCCAATTTTGCCATCAGCCATCTGCGCAATGCAATCTGATTCTGAATCCTCAGCTTTATGCCAAAATCTACCACAATTTAAGCGGCTTTGTGATCATAGCGACAAATTCGTCTAAGAAAAAAGAAAAAATAAATAATAATTAAGCGCGTAGGTTGGGAGCAGCGAGTGTACTTTTAAGCTCTTTTAACCTCCTCGTCTGTCGCTTAATCGTATAACTCAATGCAATAAGAAGAAAAAAAATTTAAAATTACAACTTAAATATACCTATTATACTATAAATATATATATATATATATATTTTAAACAGATAAAAATGAAATTATGTAAATAAGCATGTGAACAATTTTTTTTTTTTTTTATTTTTTTTTTTTTATTTACTTGTTTACTGTCTAACTATGTGCTCACGGGTTAAAGTGAGAGCTTTGAGATGAAAATATTCGGCCCACAAAGCAACTAATTGAGCAGCGAAGAGCTATTTATGATTAATATGTGTAATTTATTAATGATATCTTAAATGTTGCCATCAAAATTAAATATTTTTACATATTTAATATACTTATGTACAACACTCCCATATTAGAAGTGACTAAAAATATGAAAAAATATTCACGAAAAATTTCAAATAATTTTATAGTTTGTGAAAAAATTTTAGGAAGATGAAACCTACATTCCCATGAACAGCAAGAATAGTTTTCTTACCTAAGGCAGGAAAGAATATGTATCCAAAGGCTTAACCCCCAAAATCAGCTTTACACAATTTTTCTTAAAAACATTGGCAGTGCGTAGCGGATGAGTGGCTCCTCCTTCTTAAAAACTATATCAGCAGACACAGTTAACCAACTTTTTTATGAGGAAAATAGAATCGATGATGATATATCAGAGAGTTTAACAACTTCTTCAAGCATGAACTAAACCTACGCCTTACTAAACTGCAGAATATGAGGAATAAGAGTGATAACATGAGAGTTGCATAGAGAGAGACACTCTACAACTAGAACTACAACCTCTTCTTTGAACTCTCGTAGCTAATACTGTTTGTTGGCGGGACTAGTGCAGAGAACTGTCAAGCTTATGGCCAATGCAGATGAGATTTCGAGAACTATAAACAATTGGACTAACAGTTAACTAACGGCTGACTAGGTCAACAATGATAAAATGGTTTTAGACCGATTTCCAAAGACATGCCAACCAAAGCTAGAAGAGACTACTTTGCAGCCGAAAGAAAGCATGACAAATTTTCGTCTAGGAAAAGGCGAGAAGAGAGAGCATCAGCATGGGCTCCATAGGGAGCCTTTTACTTTCGCTTGCACTGTATTTTGGAGGCGTTTGTTAAGCCAATACTTTTTGATGAAGTTGGAGTACATGTATCGAGGACTGAGTTGTACGATGCCTGACTTTTCGGAAAGCTCGGTCACCTACAATAGCGGCAGGCAGATGGAGCAAAGTAATCACGTATATTCTCCAGTATATGTTCACGGATGGTTCAAAAATGATTGGGAAGCACTGACTATAGTTTACTGCGCCCAAACAGAAAAAAGAAGATATTCAAGCTACCTGAGCTACATATATATTATATGCCAAGATATTTTTAAAAAATAAAGTGTGGCAAAGCTACTGCTGTGCGCCGAAGAAAAATATTTCTGTAGATAGCCAAACAGCCAGGGTATCGAGGCAAGCCTGGGCAATCGGGTCTTTAAGCCAGAACGATATGATTAGGATCCAGGCAAGGACTGTCACTTCATCAGCACCTTCAAAAAAAAAACTTTTTTAGAATACTTACTTACGGTAACAACAACAACACAGGTATTTGAGTAGAGTAAGTAACGAGGAATTGGTGTCTCATGCCTTAAAAATAGCCTGGTTGAAGGCAGCTAATGCAGCGAATGCCGGATAGAGGTAGAGAGGGGAAATTAAGTAATCTATGGTGCTCAGCGTTTCGTAGACAGAGCATGACATTGGCGAATTGGAAAGGCACGAAATGCCTCCCCCAATTTGCTATGAGAGTAATAATGTACTTAAAACCAGCGACACTACAGGATAACACTATGGACAAGGCATCGCCTGTGTGAGACTCTCTAAGCAGTTCATCAGCTCAATATAATACAACCAAGTAAGATCTCTTCTGCCTTTTGGCTGGTCTTGATCTCTTATAAAATCATCAAAATTAATTTTTAATTATACATACATACATACATATGTGATCAAAAGCTCTCTTCCAAAGTTGCCTACTTTATTAGCGAAAATTCTAAAAACTCTTAGCTGTAATTATCATATATGTATATATGTATGCACATATATGCTTCTTCTAATAAGCTGTTTACTAAATCATT